ATAAATTTTTCCATAATAAAAAACAGAAAATCAAAATACAAAATATGTTTAATCATTTATTAATTTCCTCACTAATTTATTTTTGTAAATAAATGTTAATAATTAACTTAGTTAATTTAGGTTTAAAATTCAATCTTTTTCTTAATAAATAAAACTCTATAGAATTAGGTTTTGATTCTTTTTTTATCATTATTATTATCATTATTTATTGTATTTATTAATTACCATTATTTTTGTAAATAAACATGTAAGTTAAATAATTTAGTTAATTAGCCTAATTTTGACCTTTTTAATTAATAATTAAAAATAATTTAGAACTAGGGTTTCACTAACTTTAATTTTAATTCTTTTCTTTATTTTCATATATACCAAAAAACATAAAAAAATATTTTCTTTTCTTTAATTAAATAATTAATTAGGTTTTAATTCAATTTAATTTCAAGCAAAGGGTCAAAACCCTCGGACGTCCAGTTTAATTTCTTTTCACGCATTATTTTCTTTTGATTATTATGTAACTGTTCAAGGATGTAATAGTAATTAGGTATTCTTTTTACTTTCCGCATCTTTTATCAAAAACGGGTCTTTGTATTTTGGCGATGTATAGACCCGCGCCTTGTAATAGCGTAGCTTTTATCTTTCCGTATTTTACCTTCCGCACTCTTAAATTCTAAATTGCATGAAAGAATGTATGTTAATTAAAAACAACTCGTAGCTCACAATGCCATGATCAAAGATAACTGTTAACATGAAAACAACACACAATGCACACACCACTTCTAGGGTACGCCTCACTCGTTGCCTTCGAAACGTGGTCGTCAAGTATAGGACGTTTTAGCGGTCGCTCTTATATCCAAGATCCAGCTGCCTCGAAATAGTTGTCTCGAAACAGTTGCCTCGAAACGGTTGCCTCGGATAAAAAAAAGGATCTAGGATGTAAGGGTAGCTTCTAAGGTGTCCTACTGTTGCTTCAGTGACCACACTGTCCCTACAATCGAATTGACCCGAACACCTCCAACGGTGGTGCTACCTACCTCTCAATGGTGGGATGGCACTACCTTAAGGACTTTTACACAACCTAATTCCTTAGGGTAGGTAGATGACTCATGGATACTTGCTCTCTAAAAAACAAAACAAAAATCTTTTCACACCGACACTTTCAAAAAAGCTTTCAAAGCAAATTTTTCAAACACTCTTGAGGACAGATACAAGAGTCATTCAGAAATCTTTCAATGAAACTTTTTCAAACCCACTCACATTTTGAAAAGCAGACATTTTGAAAACATAAGAGCAAGTATCTAAGATCCCATGGATAACCATGGATAAAAAGGGTGCTAACACCTTCCCTTTCTATAAATCTACCTCCCGAACCGAGAAACGTTCTCATAAGGAATTTTGCTGTGCTTTTGTCCTGTCCACCTTGGAGAAAATAAAAGACGGTGGCGACTCTTGCTTACCACGACATTTTGCGAACCAGCTTTAAACAGTCAGTTCTATTTCCACCGATCACACCATCCATAATCATCATATGTCGATGTTGCTCAATCGGGTAATCATGTAGCCTTTGTCTCTACATCTTCTCTTGGTTCTTGGGTCCTTTACTCTGGTGTCTCTGATCATATAACTGGTAATAAATCTATTTTATATCACTTGTCTTATTATGATTCCTTGCCTTCTCTTATTGTGGCGGATGGTTCTAAAATCAAAGTTCAAGGTCTTGGTCAGGCACATCTACTTCCAAACTTATCTTTAGAGTATGTCCTTTACATTCATGGTTGTCCCTTTAATATTTGTTCACAACCTTTTTTGTACTCTTGATTGCTCAGTACTTTTTAATGATAATTCTGTTTATATCCAGGATCGACGTACAGGACAGACGATTGGAGCAGGGAGTGAAGATGGAGGATTATATCATCTTTCTCCATCGGTGGCATGTGCTTGTATTGCCTCTCCAAAACTCACACATCAATGTTTGGGTCACCCTAGTCTTAATAAAATGCGTCTTTTAGTTCCTAGTCTTTCAAAGCTTTCGTCTTTTGAGTGCCAGTCGTGTCAATTAGGAAAACATACACGTAATACTTATTGTCAATGAGTAAATAAAAGTGTTGCATCACCTTTTGCTTTAGTTCACTCTGATATTTGGGGTCCTAGTCGTGTGAAGTCTACTTTAGGATACTATTACTTCGTAAATTTCATCGATGATTACTCACAATGCACTTGGTTATTTTTAATGAAAAATCGTTCAGATGTTTTTCGTATCTTCCAAGAGTTTTATGCTGAAATTTAAAACCAGTTTAACACTTCCATTAAAAAATTTTGCACTGATAATGCTCGTGAATATATGTCATCCCAGTTTCAATCTTTTTTAACATTATAGGGAATCATTCACCAATCATCATGTCCTCATACACCACAACATAACGGTGTTGTTGAACAGAAGAATCGTGATATAGTTGAAACCACACAGACTCTTTTACTTCACCACAATGTACCCTCTCGTTTTTGGGGTGATGCTCTCCTCACCGCATGTCACCTTATCAACCGAATGCCTTCATCGGTCCTTCAAGACAAAATTCCATACTATATCTTGAATCTGTAATATGATCTCTACCCTATTCCCCTTCACGTGTTTGGTTGCACATGCTTTGTTCGTGATCTTAGTCCAGGTAAAGACAATTTTTGCGCTAAATCTCTCAAATGTGTTTTTTTAGGTTACTCACGTATACAAAAGGGATATCGTTATTTTTGTCCTCAACTTCAACAGTACATTGTCTCCTCCGATGTTACATTCTTTGAAGGTTCCTCTTTTTTCTGTCTCTTCGTCACCTGATGAGACTTGTAATTTAGATGATCAAGATATCCCTTCTGTCATCCCCACGCCCATTAAACCTCCTTTGCAAGTATATCAGCGACGCACACCGCGTCCATCAGAAGTTAGAGATGATATTGATCCACCAACACCATCTCCTACTACAATCGTTCCTCCAGCTACGTCACCTGAACTTGACCTTCCAATAGCATTACGAAAAGATATTTGATATCATAATCCAAATCCTAAATATGTTTGTGTTTTAAATTATGAGTGTCTCTCTACTTTCTATGTTTCTTTTGTGTCTGCTTTGGAGTTTGTGTTTATTCCTAAGTCTATATGTGAAGCTATGACTGATCCCAATTGGCGTCAGGAGATGGTAGAAGAAACGATTGCATTGCATTCAAATAACACTTGAAACATTGTTCCTTTTCCTCCAGACAAAACTACAGTGGGATGTCAATGGATTTATACAGTAAAAGTTGGACCAGACGGTCAGATTGATCGTTTTAAAGCCCGTTTAGTCGCCAAGGGATACACACAAATATTTGTCCTTGATTATGGTGACACTTTTTCTCCAGTAGCCAAGATTAATTTGGTATGTCTCTTCCTTGCAATGGTTGTCATTAATCATTGTCGCTTCATCAGTTGGATATTAAAAATACATTCTTACACGGAGAATTGGAGGAGGAAGTGTATATGGATCAACCTCTTGGTTTTACTATTCCTGGTCATTCAAGCCTTGTTTATCGGCTTCATCGATCTCTTTATAGGCTGAAGCAGTCTCCATGTGCTTGGTTTGGTCGCTTCAGCTCTACCTTGATACAAATTGGTATGACTAGATGTGAAGCAGATCACTCTATTTTCTTCCTTCACTCTTCCATCGGTCAACGTATTTTTCTTGTGGTTTATGTTGATAACATTGTTATCACTGGAGACGATGCAGAGGGTATCCAACGACTCAAAACTCATCTTTTCAAAAACTTTCAGACAAAAGATTTTGGTCAACTCAGATACTTCTTAGGTATTAAAGTTGCTCAATCCTCATCAGGCATTGCAATAAACCAACGTAAGTATGCATTAGACATCCTAACTGAAACATGTATGATTGATTATCGTCTGATTGATACTCCTATGGATCCCGACGTCAAGCTTCTTTCGGGTCTTAGGGGGCTATTGAAAGACCCGGGAAGATATCGACGTCTAGTGGATAGACTCAATTAGCTTACCGTCACCAGACCGGATATTACTTTTGCAATGAGCATTGTGAGCCAATTCCTGAATGCTCCTTGTGATACTCATTGAAATGCAGTTATTCGGATTCTCAAATATATAAAGAATGCACCAGGAAGAGGACTATTATATGAAGATAAGGGTGATGCTAAAATCATTTGTTATTCAAATGCAGACTGGGCAGGATCACCAGGAGATCCACTTCTGGATATTCTATTCTTATTTGAGGAAATATGATCTCACGGAGGAGCAAGAAACTAAACATAGTTGCACTATCTAGTGCTGAAGTTGAATGTCGTGCTATGGCAGCAGCTCAAAAGAACTTGCATGGCTTAAGAATTTGCTCTCAGAACTTAAGTTTGGTGACCCTCAAACCACAAAGCTCATGTGCGACAATCAAGCGGCACTTCACATTGCATCCAATCTGGTTTTCCATGAACGGACCAAACACATAGAAATAGACTGTCACTATGTAAGAGACAAAATGCTATCAGGAAAAATAACCACAGAATTTGTCAAATCTGAAGAACAATTAGCTGATATGTTTACCAAGTCTCTCAAGGGTTCTCGAGTGAATTATATTTATAACAAACTCGGATCATACAATATCTACGATCCAACTTAAGGGGGTGTTAAGAATCCGTTATCAATCAATTAGGATTGATTGATATTCAATTAGTAATTACTGTATTTGATATTGTTTCCTTTTTTTTTACATTAACTATTTGCATATAAATATACACCTTATGTAATCATATTCGACACACAATTTTACACCTAAATAAAACTATCACTATCTCAACATGATTTGGATCAAAAACATCGATTTTTCTAATAAACTCATTGGCTGTAAAATCACAAATCCATGAAAGCTAAGACTAAGTAGCATGAAAACTATTGAAGTTGGGCTTAAATTCGAATAAATATAAACACTGATTCGGAAAACCTTCACAAGATTAACCTATCTTTTAACAAATCCTAAGCATTTGTTATGTTTGGTTTCGGTAATACTAGGACTTTGAGTGACTTGTTTGCTTGACTGACAAGTGATTGAGATTTTCTCCATCGCGTTTATAAACTTGCGCAAGTACTTGATGTACTCGGGGAAAGTTTCAAGGTTGCAATGGCCTCCACCTTTAACCCACAACGGATCGTATTTTTGCTTCGAGAGTTCCCACAATCGCTTTCCATGAGAACAATCAACAATTTCATCTTCTGTTCCCTGTCAATAATACATTAGCAGAAACAAAACTAACATTAATGCTACAGATTCGATTAAACAAATATCCATGTCAGTCGCGATGTTTTCTGCAGAGTCCGTGAATACACTAAGCAACAACCAAAATATTCTGGTATGTAAACTAAACAACACAATTGATTAACTGATTTCAAACTTAGTACATAGATGGAAAGACATACTTACATGTATAACGAACACGGGACAGTTTACATACCGAATTTTGTCTATATTCTGAAATGACATAGTAAACTTTTGTTACAACAAACAGATCTCAGTGTTAAAGATTAGGACAGAGCTACAAGAACTGTGAAGCAAAACTTACTTTGAATATATCAAACCAAAATGTAACTTTGACAGGATACAAGACCCTTAATCCTGAAAGAATAGCACTGTGAAGTACAACACCTCTCAATTTTGGTAACTTTGAAGCCAAATGTAGCGTCGGTCCACTTCCAACGGATTGACCATACAAAATCAAATCTTCTTGCTTAAATCCATATCCACTCTTCAACAAATCAAATACAGCCTCTATGTCGTAATACGTGTTGAACTCAGACGGCTATCACAGTTGAAGAGAACAGAATCAATCATACACATACACCAAAACTCATCACATTGTTGAAATAAATAATGATCTATAACACCAGACACCTCTGAAAAAATGCGTATCTATCCAAGTGTCAGACACAAACACTAATACTTAAATATGACACTTGTGGACATGTCAGTGTCGTGTCTAAAAGACATATATACAATACTTATCCAGCTGTCGTGTCGTATCTGGTGTCTGTGTTTGTGTTTCGTAGTATTTGTAAACATACAACAAAAGGGTAAAAAAGTAAGTAACTTACCTTACCTGTAGAGCGTCCATATCCAGAATAGTCATAGCTGCAAACATAACAGAAATAGAAAAAAGCAATAAATAACAAGAATGCAAAAATTTTTACAAGAAAAAGGGTTTGAAGAAAAAATGGAACCTGATGATATTGACACGAAGATGAGCTCTAAGCTCAATAAAGAGATCAACCATTTGACCCAAATCAGCAGCATTACCATGAGAGTACAACAAAGTAAACCTCGCAAAAGGGTGTTTCCAGAACGTGGCAACAATCTTGTTACCAACTTTTGTATCAACAACATGAACATCAACGCTTTTATCATTGGAGCCGGAAAACACCATCACACCGTCGTTGCTCTTGAGAATTTCGTACGTCGGTGGCTCCGGCGGGAAAAACGCGAATTTCGCAGCCACCGGTCCCGTGACATTGCCCATTGACAGAAGAAAAAAAACCCGGTTCAGGAATAGAAAAAAAAAGTTTGTTTTATTTATTTCAACATGAGCCAGAACATTGTTTTTAGGTACGATGATGATGTTGGGAAATTTGTTTCTGGGTACGATGATGTTGTTGTTACGTTGAAATTTAAATTAATTTAGTGAAAAATGAAAAGAAAAGAAATAAATGATTTTTTTAATTTTTTGGAATAGAGTTGGGAAGATGGAAAGGTGAAAATAGATCCGAAGGAAACGGGAGAAGATGTTGTTCCCATTACCATTCATTTATATTTTCTCTCACCTTTTCATTCTTTTCATAACGTAATGTAAAGTAAAAGTTATTCAATGAGGAATTTTGTTGACATTGATTTTAGACTGAATTTTTTATCCAAAATCGTTTTTTTTTCATTTAAATAATTTTATATATTTTTAGTTTTTTCTTTTATGATTTTGTTATTTTTGTGCGATATTGTGTTGATCGTCGTTTTACTGTAGTTTTATTTGATTTTTTTGTCTTTGGTACGATGTTTGTTCGATCCAGATTAATGAATTAATTTTGATTTTATGCATATTCAACTAATGAGTTTTACACTCTGAATGTTGAAGAATCGGAGACATGGGTATTCCGAGTATTTTAATTTCTCTATATTTATATGTTTTATCGTAGATATTTTACTGTTATATGTTATTGATGTAAATTTATTTATAAATTAATCTTTTTTAATTTATAACGATTTTAAATTTATATTATTTAATATATTTTATCAATTTAAATGAATGAATATCATTTTTAATAAATAAAAAATTGAGAATTTACAATATATACCTCATTAAAAATAAAATACTAGTAAAACTTTATCCATAAGCACTCCCTCAAAAGGCAAATTTAGATTCTGAATATAAATATTTTTGGAAAATAAACTGAATCTCAATACCTATCTTAATTCTACGATGAATAGATGACAGTTTTTTCTATTTAATGCATGTCTAGAGTTATGTTATAGATTTAAATAAGACTTCTAACTAAGTGAAGAGATCATCAATATTTCAATATTATTTTTTTTATGTATTTATTATTCTCTTTTCTTTCAATTTTGTAAAAAAATATTAATTAATAATAAATGACAATTTTATAAAATACGACTATAATTTATTTATGTTTTTTATAAGATGATTATTATATTTTTAAAGAAAAAATTTAAGTGCATTTCTTTATATATGATTTATATTTTTTTTTCTAATAAAAATATGATAAGGGTATAACTTTCTTCTACACATATGTAATTTTTTTCTTATTTTTACTTAAAATGTGAACCACACCTATAAAATTTTATCTAAATATTTTCCTTTTTTAATACACACAACAGTGTTAAAACAATTTGATCGTATCTGACTAGAGTTGGGGGTATCTGCAAGACACCCCAATGTCAAAGTAAGATTCAGAGTCGTGCGAGCAAATATGAGAGTGAGTATGAAAGAATGAATATATGACCCTCTCAAGAGAGAAGGTATTTATAGTCCTCAGCGCTGAGCCAAGGTCCCCATCGTTGAGTTGAACAAGCAGGCCCAAAATGGAGACTGTCAGGTTCTACGTGTGTAATGGGGCCAGCATGTGGTCTCACATCTATATGGACTCCTCTGAATAGTCATGAGGATATGGATGCGGTCTTTTCGGGACCGAGAAGAACTCGTGATATTTGAGGGTGTGGTGAGTCAATCCTAAGAGGAGGAGGTTTGCGGTGTCTTTACGTCATTGTGGGTCCTCCCCACCAGCTGTGAGGTCGTCTAGGAGGGCTTGTCTTGGTCGACGAGAAGAGTAGAGGATGCTCGCGAGATCCTCCTGACCAGCGACGAGCCTCCTCGTAATTCTTAGATTTATCCCCATACGGCGGAGTCATGTTTTCACGAAGAATGAGATTACTGCCCGACATAGTTGAAGGCAGACTCAGTCAACAAACATCCTCGAACAACATAGTTGGATTGGATCTCATATGAAATTAGGCCAAATACAGACTCAGTCCAAAACACAATTTATAATTAAAAATAAATTGACAGTATTATTTTTTAAATGGATCTCTTTTAAACTTACATAATATTTTAAAATTTTCTCAATTAATTATTACTAATGACTACCATCTCTCTCAGAATTAGCAATCTTTTATCATTTTTATTTTTTTAAATTATTGGTTTAATTAAAATGTAAATACAATATTTATTAATTTTTTTGGTTATCCTGTATTTTAATTTTGGAATTCATATTAATTATTTAATTTAAAAAAAAAATTATATTCATCATTTAATTCTTTAAAACGTATTATATTAAGCTTTTTTTTCTTAGTTAGCGATGAGTTCAGTGATTAATTTTTGAGTTTTTTCGTTGTTAATTAAAAAAAAATATTAAAATATTATATTTTGAAAAGTTAAATAATCAAAATAGTTTTTTTTTATAAATTAAAGCATAAAGATAACTTCAAAGTTAACAAATAGAAAAACAAATATTAAACTTAATTTTTTTACTAACTTATTTTTATTTATTTATTTAATTCATTCAACTATACTTCTATCTACTAAAATAAAACTATTTTAATAAATTATATAATTTTATCATTAAAATCAATAGACTAATTGTTATCTTGTAAAACTTATAAAAAAACATTTATTATGAGAATGAATGTACAGTCGGAGAAAAAATAAACATCAATCTCTTTCATTTTGTATTTAGTGAAATAAATACAATAATTATACATGATAAAGTAAGCAGTTTAGTAAAATCAACATAATTATCTTCAAATTAAATAAAAGTATAAAAAGATTAAGAAATATTAATTTGTAGGATAAAAAGTAAGTTCTTTGGGAAGAAAGTGTTAGGTGAGGTAAGAGATTGATAAAACGTAAGTGGTATTACTATTGTTATAAAATTAATTCAAGTTAAATGATTTGAGACTAAATCGTGAACGAAATCATTTTTTTTTATAAGTGTAAGTGTTTAGTTATTGGCATGTATTTTTGGTAAAACCAGGTGTATGAATGTCATGACTGATGTCATAACATTCTGGATTATTATGTACTTTATGCAGAAAAAGTATAGCATACAGTAGCTGCTGTTTATGAGTGTGTATCTGAGCATTTTGCAATGATCACATTTATCTCTTTCTACCAAAATCAGTAAACAGGAATTCTGATGTCATAACAAATGTTAAGACATCCTGTACTGATCTAACAGTTATGCAGTTTGGTTAATTCTGAGATTTTTCAGGAAGTTGGTTCATTCCTTCCAGAACAGAATCTCACGTGGACTTTAGGTTAACCTAGCTCAACCCTAATCTGGTTGATAAAGTCTTGTGACCAAGTCTTGAGGTTAACCCTAATTAACCCTAACTTTTCGTGGAAGCCCTAACTGAAGAAACAGCTGCATATATATTCAACAGGAAAGCTGATTGGAAATCAACTCTTTGACAGAAGATCAATTAGGAGCTGTATAGTTTTAACTGATGTAATCCAAGCAAGTATCATTGTGATAAGTGACTTGGAATAGGTTTTGATTGTAAGGGTTTTTGTATCACTCAAAGCTTTAAAGCAAGAGTGTTTGTGTCTCTTGACTAAAGCTTTGAAGCAAAGTCAAGTTAGGTTTATGTATCACTCAAAGTTGTGAAGCACGAGTGTTTGTGTTACTTGATTAAAAAGCTGTGAAGCATAATCAAGTGTATGTTCTGAAGAGTGTCTTCATTATTTCATTAGTCAATTGTTTAAGTATCACTGCTGTGATTGAGGGAGAGTGAGTAGGAACTCAGGTTTAAGTTGAACTTAGATTGAAGTTGCATTGGGTAGGTCTTAAGTGAAGGAGATAAACTGGTTGGTTTATTCCTGAATTAATATCTCTTATAGTGGATTTCCTCCCTGGCTTGGTAGCCCCCAGAGTAGGTGTTGTTTCACACTGAACTGGGTAAACAATTGACTGTGTTCTTTACTGTTTTTATTTACTGTCTTATAGAAAGTCAGATACGGTGTCATAACATTCACTGTGACATTGAGTATCTGCTGCCAGAATTTCAATTGGCATCAGAGCAGGCACCCTGCCTGTATTACTGGGTGAGATCTAGGGATATCACTTTCTGGCACTATGGACAAAGAAGGAGTTTTTGGAAACAGACCACCCATTCTGGATGGATCAAATTATGACTACTGGAAACCTCGTATGATTGCCTTTTTAAAATCACTGGACAAAAAGGCTTGGAGAGCTGCTGACAAAGGATGGAACCATCCCACCATAACTGAGAAAGATGGGACAATCAGTCTGAAGCCCGAGGAAGAATGGAGCAAAGAAGAAGATGAGTTAGTCCTGGGTAATTCCAAAGCTTTAAATGCCTTGTTCAATGGAATTGATAGAAACATATTCAGACTAGTACATCAATGTGAACTGGCCAAGGAAGTGTGGGACACTCTCAAAACTACCCATGAGGGCACATCCAAAGTAAAAATGTCAAGGCTTCAGATGCTGGCTACCAAGTTTGAGAACCTAAGGATGAAGGAAGATGAAACCATTCATGAGTTTCACATGAACATCTTGGAGATTGCCAACACCTCAGGAGCATTGGGAGAAAAGATGTCTGAAGAAAAACTGGTGAGAAAGATTCTCAGATCCCTGCCTAAAAGATTTGCAATGAAGGTAACTGCTATAGAGGAAGCCCAGGATATCAGCAAGTTAAAGGTGGATGAACTCATTGGGTCACTTCAGACTTTTGAGATGGGGATCAGTGACAATGTTAACAAGAAAAACAAGAGCATAGCACTTGTATCCAACACTGAAGATGAAAACAAGGAGGATGAAGAAGAAAATATTTCAGAAGCTATAGCCATGCTTGGAAGACAATTCAACAAACTCATCAAGAGAATGGATCCAAAGTCAAGGTCAAATGTCAAGAACATCCCCTCTGACATTAACAGATCTTATGACTCCAGCAGAAGACCAAAGTCTGAAGAGAAGGGAAATCAAGGCAGAG